ATGAGTAGTAATCATGCTTTAAATGGTTGAAATACAGTCAAAACCCCACCCTACCCTACTACTTGGCTTTTTGTTTCTCCAACTTCTTTTTATATTTACTCCTTTTCCCTACATTACCTCCATGCTATGGATTTTTTGTTTTGTTTTTGTTGTATCTTCCTCGAATTTCTTTTGTGGTTCATGTCTCGACTGTCGATCAAAACCTCCAAAGTATTTTTTCGCTCATCTAGGCCTCTAAGATTTTTAGAGGTCTTTTAAGTTTCTTATCATTTAAAGAATCATAGTCTCTTAATATGATTAATATCAATCTCATCATCGATAAAATTTACTGTATAAAGATCAGATCAATTCACTTTGTAAATTTATAAATAACAATTCTAGATTTTAAGTGAGTATTAAGAGTCTATATATAAATTGTCATACAAATTTAACGTGATATATCTTCCTTTTTTTCTAAGATTATTTTCATCTTTTTCAACTTATTTTTTCTCTTTTATTAATATAATTATCATCTATTATGACTCCCTATTCAAATAAAAATATGAAACATCACAACTTATATTTAACCATCAACATTTTAACTTTTCCAAGTAAAATCACATGCCTTTACTTCTCCTTATGTTCTTAGTAGATGGCTACACGCAATTTCAAATTAGGTATTCATTATAACAAACAATGAAAATACTTCATCCAATTGACATAAGATATCAAATTTGAGTATTATAAATATAAAAATATTATTAAAAGTATTTATATTTAAAAACTTCAAAGAAAAAATTAATAGTGCCGATAAAACAGATGGCAACTTGGAATTAATATACGATTTAGGATGTGTTTGTTTGGTTCTTAATTGAATTGTTCAGACCTGAACACTGAATCGGTCCGATTCAGCGCGTTTGGTTCGCATAAAATTATGGGTCTGAATGATTTATAGTTGCTGACCGATTTAGAGTCTAAAATCATGCTTAATCATTCAAATGAACGCTAATACCCTTTTTCTCTCTCTCTCTCTCTTTATCGTTTACATTCGCTCATCAGCAACATCTAATCTTCCCACTCCTTCTCGAGGTAATCTGAACTATGTTTTTCTTTTGGACTTTGTTTTTAATCGTCTCAGTTATTGGTTTTTCTCTCTTCTTCCTTTCTGGAATTTGGAGTTGAATTTTCCATTGTTTGATATGTTTCTTTGGCTACTCTGTTTGACCCTTTTCTTTATTTTCTTTTTAGGGATTTGGTTTAGTTCATGTTTTGACAATCTCTTTGCTTGCCGCTGGTTCTCAACAATCCCGTTTCTAAGGTAATGTTCTCTTTAGTCTCTTGAATTCTTCTTGAAAGGAAAAAAAACTTTAACTAAAGACTGATCATTATCTCTTAGTTGAGACATTGGCGTCGGTACATGTCCAACAAACCTTTTGATTAGTATCTGTTCTTGGCATTGCTATTTGCGTGATATAAGTATATAATTGAATATTTCTTGTATCTTAATAGACCATATAAAGAGCAGAACTTTGAAGTTTACATATCTTCCACATGAATAAGGGAATTCACCTTCAGCTTCGATTATCCCTCTATATTTTGCACTCGAAATACCCTCCAAACAAAAGTCTTTCCTCTGTTATAAACTTCAGAAGTTTCATATCAATTCTTAATTGCCTGCTACTATGCTTCCCTACATTTGGAATAATGGTGAATTAGTACAGCTCCCTTTTTTTTACCTTCTGGACAACTTACCTTCACTGTTTTGCATCTCTCTCATTCTCAGCTGATTGGGTGATAGTTAAACTCATTTTTTACCTCAGCAAATGATATTTTTGTATACCTTCTAATTTTCAAATACTTCATTAACTTTTGATTAGAATCATTCTTTTCCCCTTCGAATGTTATTCCATTCATGCAACAAGTTGCTCTGATAAATAGCATCTTGAACCATGCTTGTTGTAGAGAGAAAAATCCTAAAAGAGATTGGAGAATGCCCCTATCCTAGTCACTAAAAGTCTAGAACCAACATTATCCTCAACACATTTGTATTGGTAAAAGTTCAAACATGCTAGATATGAAGAAATGGGTTTGATGAATTTGGGATCTCTCTATTTGTATCAATGCTTAGTTTTGATGAATTGTCGGGTTTTTTTTATCATGCATATTGGAATAAATTCCGGCAGTAGCAAGAAAATCCATTTTTTTTAAAAACTTCGGTAACTGAAATAACTCGCCCAAGTTATATCGCTTTGGTTTGATTGCTTTAGACAAATGATTTTGATCTGTCCAGTTATCTATTAGTAATGTCAGTTAAGTCAATTTACATGAAAAATCGACTGAACTAACTGATTAAACCGATTGCTCCTCCCTGCTAATTAGTTTATCAAATTTCAATCCGGTACTATGTTGAATGTTATCTTTTATATTTTAATTTTGGGTTTATTAATTTATGCAACTTAAATGACATAGCTGTTGTTTGCTTGCGGCCGACTTTAACCATTTGCTGCTCATCTGCTCTCCTTCCGCTCATCTCTGCCAACTGTCGGTTGCTATAACTACTGCCCTTTGGCCTTTGCTTCCGTTTTTCTGCTCAATGCTCACTGCTACTGGTGTTTAGGTACACATGGATTTCTCTCATTCTTTTGCTATTAAGCATTGTTTTGTACCAAATGCCATTGATATAAGCCAAGGGAAAGACATCAAACTTACATGTAAAAAGGACATATATATTGTGAGTGCAATAAGTTTCATTGCAAAATAGGGGAGAAAATTGGTATAATCCTGAAATTTTAGGTTCAGTGAATAAATTTGTCTGCTCGTTAATAACTAATTTTATTCTAGTGTAGTAATCAATTGACTAAAGCATCAGTTTTTTAGACTAGAAATTAATAGCCTAGATATGTTATTAGACCATAGAAATTAATAGACCAATAGATATATGGAGTTCTGGTCCTCTAAATATAAGAAAAAACCGTAGAATCAAGTTGTATATGTTGTTAGTTCACCAATGGATATATTAGATATGTGTCTTTTTGATGATGTCTTTTATATTTTGTTTCGACTAGGTGCTATATGGATTTAAATGACGAGGAGGTGTTTCTAATCATTATATCGTGGTTTTGGATGGTAAATGCATCACCAATAGTTGAAAGAATTCGAGACAATAATTCAACATTGACTGGACATGCATATACACAAGAATTATTATTTGGTTCGAATACACAATGCTTGCGTATATACTGTTATGTAACCATTTTAAACAAAGAAATTGGTTGCAAAATAGTAGGATGATAACCGTGGAAGAGAAAATGGCTATATTTCTAATAATTATAGGCCATAATGAACGTTTTCGAATATGACGCAAAGACAAAAACACCTACGAGAAATATTTTCGGTATGTTTTTTATATATTTTTTGTTATCACCCAAAAAATAATGTTTCAGTTTCTTATCATTTATGTTCTTCAATAAAGGGTGTAGTAGGTGCACTAGATAGAACACTTGTACATGCAATAGTTCCTATCGATCAACAAGCTCGTTATAGAGGAAGAGGAAATGGTGAATGTTATCAAAATGTCTTGGCAATTTGTGATTTTGATATGATATTCACATTTGTGTGGGCTGGATGGGAGGGCATAGCACATGATTCTAGAGTTTTGACAGAAGTTGCATTTAATCCAAACTCGGGTTTTCCTTTTCCTCCACAAGGTATATGTCATTTCTTTCTATCGTATTAAAATGTTTTAATTCATTACATTTATTTATAGTTTTTTGTAACAAAATTTTAATGCTTATATATAAATAACAGATAAGTATTACCTTTGTGATGCTGCATATACCAACACACGTGGCTTTATGACTCCATATCGTAATACGAGGTATTGGCTAGCAGATTTTCAACGTCAACGTGTCGTAACCAAGGAGGAAAGGTTTAATCATGCTCATGCACAGCTTAGAAATGTTATAGAGCGTGCCTACAGAGTTCTGAAAGCAAGATTCTCAATCCTAAAGCAAATGGCTCCTTATCCTTTTCCAATGCAATGAGACATAGTGATTGCATGTTTTGCAGTCCATAATTTTATAAGAAAATGCAAAGTTTATGATCAATTATTTGTGGATTTCGACGAGAACAACATGTTTGCTTCTGAAGAACAAGATAATGGAAACGAACAAGACGAGATAAATGGAGTTGAATGGGGTCTTCAAGGCAATGAGTATATGGCTAATCTACGTGATCACATTGCTAATCAGTTGTTTTTAAATGCTTCAAATTAATATCTTTTTTTGGGTTGATTTGTCTAGAACAAAAGAATGCTTGTTATGTATTTTGTTTCATCAAAAATATAAACCACTCTTTTATGTCATTTCATGTTAGTTGATTTGTTTATTATGAATGTTGATAAATTGTCTAAAAATGTGTTTTTAAGTTACTTGATTTTATATTTTGTTATGATTGTTGATAATTTTGACAAAAAAGTGTTTTTATAAACATCAAAAAGTAAAATATATTTTTAACATTTATTCACAAGGTAGAAACAAATATATTTTATTTTGGCACAAAATCATACAGAATGGTAATATGGTCATTTTTTGTCATTCAGACGTATTATCAAACAAATTTTCTATTAAGAACTATATCATACAGAGTCTCTTAATCATTCAGACTGCTAAATCATTCGGTGCTAAAACATTCAGTGCTAAATCATTCAGTTTTAACAAACAGCCCCTTACAGTCCCTTCATTGACTATGAGCAGAGAGTACAAGGTACCACAACTTGAAGCTGCAAATTGCTACAATTACAACTATTTGAGTGTGCTCATTGAATGAGACCCTGCACAGCTTTGACGGTTCTTGGTTAAAAATCAAAACAAAACTGTACCTTCTGAAACTTCAAGAAAACAAAGCGAGCAATGAATGAATAATCAATTTCACCATTCCCAAAACATTATCAACATAACGCAACACCGAATTGAATCGATCGATGTAATGTATGTGTACCATTCAAATGAATTTTCTGTTTGAATATTTCAGTAACAAAAGATTTCTTTGATTTACAAACTTGGATTTGTTTTGTTTTTGTTCGAATCATTAAAAGGGCATAATATGGGTAGTTCTAGTATCATAACTTGGTAGACAAGACTTGGAATTAACCCGGAAAATCTTAAGCAAATCGCCCGACATTTGCCGAACGGCAGCCGAGCAGTTGCTTTGCATCAGCAACAAAAACTTGGTCATCCCATTGCTGCTAACCACCGCTTCTTGAGCTTTCTCGTCCCTAAACAAATAGCAAACGCACCAGAGTATTGTCACCGCGTGCTCCGTCGCTTTGTCCGATACTTTCAGCACTTTCTGCACGATCGCTTGTAGCAATATGGAATCGTGCCATATCTCCATCCTCCCTTCTCTGCAAGACGACAACGTTTCCAGCAGTTTTAATGACTTCTCAATTATGGAAACGCTCGTGTTTGGCTCGGATAAGTGTTTCTTTAAGTCTGGGATTGTTCTGGATTGGATTACTTTGATTTTTACTGTTTTGGGCATTGTGATTTCGATCAAACAAGATAAGCTCGCTTCGATCAAGCTTTGATCCTTCTCTTTGCTTAATGATTTCACCAATTCCTGTAGTAATCCCTCTTCTTCGGCTATTTTGAGCTTGGACTCTCCATCGACCGCATTAGACTTCAGTAATCCAATCGACTGGATTTGAGAATCTAAACTTCCTCGTTGTAGAACCAGAAGGATATTCGACAAGCAATTTGATTCCAATAACAGCTTCTTCTCCAAAATTTTACTTGACATCAAATTCAAAATCTCAATCACTTGTTCGATTAATTTGACGTCCGATTCCACATTTCTCATGAAATCGAACACCGCGTTAAAAAATCCGTCGATACTGGCCAGGATTTGACGGTTCTCCTCCGATTCTCTGGCGAAACAAACGATCTTCGTCAACGATGAAAATAAATTGTTGTCGTCGAGCTGTTTGACCAAGATATTGATCTGATCTTGAGAAGGAACAGCTGAATTGGCCGTCGAATCAGCTTCGAGTTGAAGGCGAGCAACTGAGTCGGACCAGATCTGAATGTGCCGTTGTAAATTCCTGTTCGGAACGAATTCCTTGCTTTGGAGAACCTGCATGGTGGCCGGACACGTGTTGTTGCCTCTGTCCAGCCACCGTTGGATGCTGGCTCGGTCGTATGTTACGCCCGTGCACAAGCTCACCGGGGATTTCATCACGTCCAACGATATCGGACACCGAAAAATACTAGGAACCGTAATGTGCAAATCGTCTCTTCCTCTTCCCATGTATATATTTTTCTTTTTCCTTGTTTGGACCGAAAGAAAATGAGAGAAAATGAAAATTTCAGAGAGAAAGTGGAAGAAATGAGATGGGAGAGTTGGGAGAGGGAGACACGGTGCGGGTTCAAAGAATATAGAGAATTAGTCAAAGGATAACTGACGTCATAAAATTCATTCTTTATTCTAATTTTTTAATAAATATATTCTTTTTTTCCCTTTTTCTAACGAGTCATCGGTCAAAGGAGAGTAAGGTTTTTGGAAGGGAATCTTCACGCGCGTGTAAGTTCAGATTTTGGGATTTAAGCTCTGAGCCGTGAGATGAATGAAAGAAAATAAACATAACGGATCGCCAGATCGAATGAACGGTGGAGATTAGATGAAGCAGAAAAATACATGCGTAGATTGAGGATGGAAACGTGGAGGGGCCCACGGGGAAGGTTCAGTTGGTCAGTCTTGATTTTGCATCATTTGTTGTTTAATGGGTAAGGAGAACCGTGCACCTTTGATTTTGTGGGAGTGCTTCCCCCCCCCCCCCCAAACCACCATAAAGTTAATTTCCGTGAAATTTGTTGTTTCTTTCATTTTTTTAATTCATTGCAAGTCTTCAGCTTTATTTATAACTTTTTAACAAAATATTCGGTTTATAAAATTTATTTTTTTAAAATATAAAATTTAATTTTGGGGTCTTTCATGTAGTGAATCCAATAATTTATTAACAAGAGTCCAAAAATTTTAATAGTTTTTATTTTAATGAAATGACTATGCATTTTTTATTTTTCTTTCTTCTCCTAATATATTAAACTAATTTGGTAATTTATTTAAAATAATAAGTATAATTTGCCCTTATAAAATTAAGTGCATCCTCCCTTAATTATTTTATTAACATAATTTAATTATATCTCATCTCGACATTTCTAAATAACAAGACTAATACTCTTTAAATTATACATGTTTTGATATTTATTAGTGTTGAACTTTATTTTTTAATATATCAATATTTTCTTCTGTAGATAGAAGCATTACAAAATTATATATGACCCGCAACATCCTTATTTTGTTGCGGAAGAAGGCTATCGGATAGAGCAAAATCGTAACTGATAATTTGAGAAAATAAAAATGAAGATAAAAGAGACACAAAATTTACGTGGAAAACCCCTAAACAATTTAGGGTAAAAACCACGGGCAACGGTAGAAGAATTTCACTATGAGAAAATAGGAATTACAACCTCTCTCGATCTACTAAGGAGAAAACAATGATAATTCTCTCTTGATAAAAAAGAAAACAACTCTCAAGAAACTCTCTAAATTCTCTCTAGTATTGGAAGAAAGCTAGAATGCTTTGGGATGATTTTGAAGCTAAATGGGATAGGGTATTTATAGCTAAATCTTAAGGACTTAATCTTGTAAATGCCCTAAAGTTTAATGACTAAAGTTTGTAATTTGACCATATAAAAAATCAACAAAATTGGCTTTTAATATTTTTTTTTTCAAAGCCACCGGCTGCTAACTAGTAGCCTATGTGGTTTTTGATTTTTCAACAATCTCCCACTTGAAGATTTGATTGGAACAATCATATCTTCACACCATTCTTTCTACTTTGTACCTTTATGTTGCTGATATTTCCGTCAGGCTGCAAGAGGATCGGCACCAGGTAAATTTATCAGCGTTGATCACCTTCGTCATGAAATCTGCTATGTTGTCTTTGGTATGAATCTTCTGCATATCTACTGTCCCTTCTTCAACCTTTTCACGAATGAAATGGTACTGAACTCGTATGTGTTTTGTCCTTGAATGAAATGTTGGATTCCTTGCTAGATGCAAGGCGCTTTGACTGTCACAAAACAGAGAGACATACTCTTGATTGTGCCCAAGCTCCTCCAATAGCATCTTCAACCAAATTGCTTCTTTACTGGCTTGTGTAGATGCTACATATTATGCCTCTGTTGTGGACGTAGCCACAACTGATTGCAATTTTGAAACCCAGCTTACAGCTCCACCAGCAACTTTGAACACATATCCTGTAGTAGATTTGCTTTTATCCAAATCCCCTGCATGGTCAGAATCTACATAACCATTTATTAGTAAGTTTGATCCTCCGTAACATAATGCAACATTTGAGGTTCCTTTGATGTATCTCAGGATCCTCTTCACTGTATTCCAATGCTCTTTGCCTGGATTCGCCATGTACCGACTAACCACTCCCACTGCTTGTGTAATGTCTGGTCTTGTGCATATCATAGCGAACATTAAACTTCCCACTGCTGATGCATACGGTACTCGAGACATCTCCATCATCTCTTCTTTATTGCTAGGACTCATACTGGAGGATAATTTGAAGTTAATAGGAAGAGGGGTAGAAATTGGCTTACAATCTTGCATGTTGAATCGTGACAAGATCTTCTTCAAGTAATTCGTTTGTGAAAGCCAAATCTTCCTATTACTTCTGTCTCGGTGAATTTGCATCCCTAGAATCTTGTTTGCTGATCCCAAGTCCTTCATTTCAAATTCCCTAGCCAGTTGTGCCTTCAATTCTTCAATATGATCTTTGTTGGGTCCTGCAACCAACATGTCATCCACATACAACAGTAATATAACAAAATTGTTATCACCAGACCTCTTGAAATAAGCACAAGGGTCTGCATTAAGTCTGTTGTATCCAAGGCACATAATGAAGGAATCAAATCTCTTAAATCAACACCTCGGTGCCTGCTTTAGTCCGTATAGAGATTTGTTCAACCTGCAAACCAAGTTCTTCTTTTCTTTTTCTTCAAAACCTTCAGGCTGGAGCATATAAATTTCTTCTTCAAGATTTCCATGAAGAAAAGCTGTTTTAACATCTAGCTGCTCTAGATATAAGTTCAATGTAGCACACATTGCCAAAACTACTCGAACTGTTGTTAGTCGAACCACAGGAGAAAATATTTCATTGAAATCAATACCTTCTTTTTGAGCATATCCTTTGACCACCAGTCTTGCACGATACCTCTCAACTTGATCGTCACCATTTCGCTTGATTTTGAAGACCCATTTGTTACCAATTGGCTTCCTTCCTTGTGGTAGTGGAACAAGGTCACATGTATTATTTTTATGAAATGCTTCAATTTCTTCTTGCATCGCCATCATCCATAGTAAAGCATATGAGTTGTTTATTGCCTCATGATATGTTGATGGCTCACCATCCTTTGTTAAAAGGCAGTATGCAATATTACATTCTATAACATAATCTGAGTGCCAATTGGGTCATCTTCTCACACGATCTGATTGACGAGTTGTTGGAACTTCAGAACTCTCTGGTTCTTGTTCATCATGTGCTGGTTCTGCTTCATAAGAATCTCCTTGTTCATTCTCCTTTTCCACATGTATCTGTATAGTCTCTGACTTTTTAGCGTTATCATCGTCTTCTTTTCTTTGTAGTTTATCTTATACAAAGATAACATCTCTACTGATGATCACTTTACGGGTAGTGGGATCCCACAAGCGATACCCCTTTACTCCATCAGCATACCCCAAGAATTTGCATTTCCTGGATTTTGGATCCAACTTTGAAATTTCTTGGGAGTTGTACATCACATACACTATACTTCCAAATACATGGAGGTTTAAATAATCAATTGGTTTACCAGTCAACATCTCCATTGGTGTCTTCAGCTCTATTGCAATTGATGGAGCTTGATTCACCAAATAACAGGCGGTATTGACTGCTTCTGCCCAGAATGATTTTTCTAGGCCTGTATCTCTCAACATTGCTCTTGTTCTTTCTAACAAGGTTCTGTTCATCTGCTCTGTCACTCCATTTTGTTGAGGAGTGTTCGCCACTGTGAACTGTCTTTTGATGCCTTCTTTCCTATAAAAGTCATCAAATTCTTCGCTTGTGTATTCTCCTCCATTATCTGTTCTGAAACACTTGATCTTATTTCCAGAATCAAGTTCCACCCGCGCTTTGAAGTTTTTGAAAGTTGAAAACACATCTGACTTCTTCTTAATAGGATACACCCAACATCTCCTAGAGTAGTCATCAATAACTGAGATAAAATATTTTGCTCCGCCAAGGGATGTAATCGGTGCTTGCCATACATCAGAGTGAACCAATTCTAGAACACTTTTGCCTCTAGAATTTGATGTGTTGAATTTCAACCGGTACTGCTTACTTGTTATGCAATGCTCACACAAAGGAAGTGATACCTTTGTTAAGCCTAGAAGTAGTTTTTGCTCCACAAGGACTTTCATTCCTTGTTCTGACATTTGTCCAAGTTTCTGATGCCATAGCATTGTCGAATCTGAACTACATGAGGCAACAAAGGCTTCTTCTTCTACCGAAGTCTCTCCCTTCAGCATGTACAAGTTTGTAGCTATCTTTTCGCCTTTCAGCACCACAAGCGCTCCACGGAACACCTTCATGATTCCTTTCCGTGTTTCAATCTTGCTTGCATTATTATCCAACAATCCGTAGGATAATAAATTTTTCTTCAGGCCTTTCACGTGTCGCACATCTCGAACAACTTTAATTGTTCCATCATCTTCAATTTGATGGTTCCCACGCCAATGATTTCTAAGGCATGATCATTGCAACTATACACAGATCCTCCTGAGACTGGTTCATAATGATGGAACCATTCTCTTCTTGAGGTCATGTGATATGTTGCTCCCGAAACAATGAGCCATACATCTGCATATCTCTCTTTCTACCTTCCACGGTGGTTGACGCTTCACAACATAGAGCATCTCCATCATATGAAGTGTTTGTGATATTGCCTTGTGGATTGGAGTTTTTATTTAAACTCCAACAATCATTCTTCAAGTGACCCTTCTTTCCACAGTTGTAGCACTTTAAATTCTTCTTGCTCCTCGACTTCGATCTACCATGTTTGTGACTGCTACTTTGGCCACGTTCTGTTGATCTCCCTCTCATCGTTGTCAATGCTTCTGCTTGTTGCATATTTACTTGTCTGTCTTCCTTGTTTTTGTGCCGATTTTCTTCTTGTAGAACAGCAACTGCAACGTCATCGAAGACTAAACTGATGACATTACTGTTTTTCAAGTTGATGATGAGTTGATCATACGAATCAGGTAGACTTTGAAGTAGAAGTTCAGCACGTTCTTGTTC